ACACAGAAGAAATGGACAGATTCCTAGAAACATGAATTACCAAAGCTGGATCACGAAGATATAACACTGCTGATTAACCCAGTTTCACTTAATTAAATTGAAAATGTAACTGAAACATTACCAACAAAGAACAGCCCAGGTCTTGATAGATTTACTGCAAGTGAGTCTACAAGAAATTCAAAGAAGATCTAAAGTCAACACTCCTCAAACTCTTCAATGAAATTAAAAGGGAAGCAATTCTCCCTAAATCATTCATGGAAGCAAGTATTACTCTAATGCCAAAACCAAAGAAAGACCAACAAAATAAGATAATTATAGGTCAATCTCCCTAACGAACATAGATTTAAAAATTGTCAATAAATACCAGCAAATAGAATGCAGCAAATCAAGAATATTATACACCACAACTAAGTGGGATTCATCCCAGGAATGCAGGGATGGTTCAACATATGCAAATCAATAAATGTAATCAACTATATAAAGAGAACCAAAAATAAGAATCATATGATCATTTCTATAGATGCAGAAAAAGCTTTTGATAAGGTCCTACATTCATGCATGATAAGAACCTTACAGGAAATTGGAATAGTTGGCTTTTACCTCAATGTGATAAAAGCCATCTATGACAACCTAACAGCCAGCAGTATATTAAATGGTCAAAAACTGAAAGCATTTACTCTAAAATCAGGAACAAGACAAGGATGTCCATTATCACCACTCCTATTCAATATAGTGCTGGAAACACTAGCCAGAGCAGTTAGACAAGAGAGAGAAATAAAAGCAGTAAGGAGAGGAAAACAAGAAGTTAAATTATCATTATTTTCAGAAGACATGATACTCTACATATGAAATCCCCAAAACTCCATTGAAAAATTCCTAGGTATAATAACTAAATTCAGGAATGTAGCTGGATACAAAGTCAACACTCAAAAATCAATAGCATTCCTATATACAAACAACAAACTCACGGAGAGAGAAATAAGAGAAGCCCCAGTGTTTACAATAGCTTCCGAAAAGTGAAATACTTAGGAATTAATCTAACCAAAAGAAGTAAAACATATAGTCAGAGAAAATTATAATACCCTGAAAAAAGAAATTGAAGATCACAGGAAAGGGAAAGACATTCCTTGTTCATGGATAGACAGAACAAATATTGTGAAAATGGCCAGTCTCCCAAAATTGTTATGCAGATTTAATGCAATTACGTCAAAATACCACTAGCATACCTCACAGATCTAAAGAAATCCTCCCTAAAATCTATCTGGAACCAGAAAAGACCTAGAATAACAAAGGCAATTCTGACCAACAAAGGCAAGGCAGGAGGCATCATTATGCCTGACTTGAAGTTATACCACAAAGCTACTGTAATAAAATCAGCATGGTACTGGAATGAAAACAGACCTGAAGATCAATGGAATAGATTAAAAGACACAACTACAACTACAAACACACTCAGCCACCTTCTCTTTGATAAAGGGGCCAAGCACATTCACTGGAAAAAAGATAGTCTCTTTAATAAGTGGTGCTGGAAAAACTGTCTCTCCATATGCCAAAACCTAGAAGTAGACCCATGCCTATCACCATGTACTACACTAAAGTCAAAGTGGATCAAAGATCTAAATATTAAAACACAAAACACTAAATCTGCTGGAAGACAAAGTAGAAATCTTGAAGACATGAGGGTGGTTAGAAAATTCATGAACAAAAATCAAACAGCTTGGGAAATACCAGAATAAATAACTGGGATGTTGTCTTATTAAAAAGTTTTTGCATGTTGAAAAAATCTCCAACAGAGTAAAAAGGAAACCCATGCATTTTGAAAACAATCTTAGTCAACTCTGACAAAGACTTCTGCCTGGAACATACAAAGAATTTTAAAAAATCAGACCACTGAAATTCAAAGACCCATTCCAAAAATGGGCATCTGAGATGAATACACAGTTCTCAGATGAAGAAATACAAATGGAATATAAATATATGAAAAAATGTTCAGTATCATTGGTCATTAGAGAAATGCAAATTAAAACCACACCAAGATTCCATCTCAATCCAGAAAAAATGGCCAGGATAAAGAAAACTACCAACACCAAATGCTGGACAGGCTGCATGGAAAAGGAACTCTTCCTGCACTGTTGATGGGAGTGTAGACTGATACAACCACTGTGGAGGTCATTCTGGATATTTCTCAAAAAGCTGGGACTGGAAGTCCCATTTGATCCAGCTATTACATTTCTGGGCATATTCCCAGAAGAACTGAAAGCATCATACCACAGTGATATATGCCATCTTTATAAAAGCACAATTTGTAATAGCCAGATCTTGGAAACAACCTAAATGCCCATCAACTGAGGAACTGATAAAAAAAAAAAAAAAAAAAGATGTGGTACTTTTATACAATGGAGTACTACTCAACTATAAAGAATGACCACATCGAGATATTTATAAGTAAATGGGTGCAATTTGTGAGCATACTAATAATTGAAATAAATCATACTCACACGTGTAAATACTATATTGTCTTCCTAGTGTATGAAATGGTAAGGGTACATAAGATACAAAGTCCTCAGTAAATAGTGATAGGGTAAGAATCTGTTCAAAGGAGAAAAATAATATCTCAGGGAAAAGGAGGAAAAAAGGAAAAGGAAGGGAAAAGAAAAACAATCTAAGTTTGTATAAACACACTTAGGATAGCTAAGATTATTGTGTTACAAATTCTATAAGATCTTGAAACAAAACAGTTAACATTCATAGGATTGGAACAATTTTGCATGTTTGTGACTGTTGATCTGAGGAATTCTTGAAGATCACTATATAAAATAACAATCTTAGTTCTGTTCCTACCACTTTGTTTTGAAGGCCTATAGTGTCACTGTTTTGGACTCTTTGCTAGTGTTATTTATTTGTCTTTTTTGTTTTGTGCTTTTCTAGTAATTTGTTTTGTTTTGGTTTGTTTTTCCCTCTAATACAGAAAGGATAGATATACAAGTAGAGGCTTATACATGCGTAGAACTTCTCCTAAACAGTTTATGAGAATCAATTATTTGATGTGTGATGAAATGAACAGCTACTTTGAAGAAAAAGTGATATTATGGTATCCATTGCTGATTCTGTATTGTCATGCTGTGAAATCCAGTAGTGCTTTTAATCTTCATTCAGAGTGGTTTTAGTCTGTTTTGTATTGTTTAACTTCAACATATATGAAGATATGGACAGTTATTTTGAAGAGAATAAGAGACATTACAGTAGTCTTTGTTGACTTTTCTATTGTCATTGTTTTCTTCTGATCTGTTTTGTTGTTTAGTTTTACACTCTTTAAAATAAAAATTAAAAAATAATTATTTTTGAAAAGAAGTGGAATATTTATATCAATCTTTATTAATTTCATATAGATATTCTTTTATTAAAATTTCAAATCAAAATTATTTCATTAGAATGTACTGTCTGATGATATTAACCAGATTTGTGTGACTCAGACATAAATGAAAAGTTCATAGTATTTTCCCCTAACAAGGTCTTGATAAGGTTAAGGACTGATAAATATTTAATGTATAATCTCATAATATTGCAACATTCCATAATGTTACATATTTAATAGCATTCATAACAAACATGATTTGTTAAAGATACCTTAATTGCAACATTCTTTGGAATTGTTTATTCTGACAAAATGAAGACAATTTAAGGAAAACTACTGATAAATAGATTTCTAACAAAGCTGATGAAAAATCAGCTTCATATTCTGTTTTAATGACAAGGTGGTTGTTGTGTACAAAAGGGAAAAGAAATGCAAGATACTATTTCTGTTACCCAGTTGAAAGAAAGTACTAAGTCAGTTATTCGAAGTTGCAAGAATACTACATCAGGCCCAAAACAACTAAATTCAAGCAATCAAAGAAATTTTAATACATTTATCAATTAGAATAAACCAAAACAACTATAAAAATCAAGAGAATTTCAAATTAATGGCCTTTAGTAATATTTTCTTTCATTTGGTTTTTTTCATCACTTTATGTTTCCATCACGACACAGCATGGTACAACTGAGTATTTCAGAAATTACTCCAGCATTCTATGCAACAATGTTGCTTTTGTTCATTTGGAGGAATGAGAATTTGTCATCTAATTAATGCTGTCTTTAATATACTCTGAATTATTCGATAACTACACCTGACAGTCAAGTCACAATAGTACTAGAAACAGAGATACTGCTTGTGGAAAATACATTAAAGAAGCCACTGGAAGCCTTAAGTAAAAAATTCATACAGATGAAACAGAAAAATAAAAAAAGGAAGAATATTTTTCTCTGCATAAGAGTATGGAGAAAGGATGAGTAAAAAGGAGAAATGAAAAACTTCAGCATTTAGGCTCTCTGTGCCATGCCGAGCTCCGTTTCACACAGCGGTGACCCACCTCCTGGAAAGAAGTGTGGAGGCTGACCATGGTGGCCGTGGCCGAGCAGCTCCTGCTTCCCATTTTATTTTAGAAGGGATTCTGATACTGTGGATAATCAGACTTTTTTTCTCCAAGACATATAAATTATAAGACTGATCTGATCTTACAATCAAGGAAAGGGGGGAACTGATTGAAGAGTAGCAGCTAGAACCTCTGGTTCTTCCTGTCTCCAAACATCATCCTGCTCTTGACTATAACATCATTTCAGGCTCTACAAGCCACAAGATTGTGGTGAATGGGAAAGAATCTATAAACTTTGCCTCCTTTAATTTTCTTGGATTGCTAGATAACTCTCAGGTGAAGGCAGCAGCTTTAAAAGCATTTCTAAGGAAGTATGGTGAGGGGACCTGCGGGCCTAGAGGCTTTTATGGGACATTTGAGTCAAGCCGGGAAGATAGATGAGAGGCATAGTGCCAAATCAAACTGGAAAGAGACTGTTTCAAGTCTTTAAAACCCTCCCTGACCTGGGGACCAGGCCGGTTCCCTACCGGACCAGAGACCAGGCCAGTTGGGTGAGTGTAACAGCAGCAGCTGGGAGCTCCGCCCAACCTGTGGGAACTTTCTCCCTGAACTGGTGAACAGGCTGGTTCCCCACCAGACCGGGCACCAGGCCAGGTCAGTGACTGTGGCAGTGGTGGCTGGGAATCCCACGCAGCCTGAGGAGACACTCTTCCTGGCCTGAGGACCAGGCTGCTGGGTTCAGTGAGTGGGGCCATCGCAGGGAACTCCATCTCAGGCTGGTGGACCTCTCTCCCACAACTGGAACAACACTTCAAGCTCCAAAATACAGGAAAATGACAAAACAAAAAACCAAAATGCAATCTCAAACATCCAGCTCATCCCAAGAAAGCCGAGGAGCCATGTGCATAGAAGAAAACACATGCCACATGACTGAAATACCTGAAATAATGGTAACTGAAATAAAGAAGCAAGTATGGGAAGCCTTGAAGGAATTCAAACTAGAAATATTCTCTCAGATGAAAGAAGAATTGGTAAAAGAAATGAAGCAGATGCTAAACATAGCGAAAGAAGAGGCAGTTAAAAAATTAGAGGAACTAAACAAAAAGATAGAATCCCTGGATGAACAATATAAGAAACAAACAGAATACATAAAACAGATGCAAAGAGATATACAGGAAATCAAAAACTCCATTGAAAGTTGTAAAACCTGCCTCAATGAATGTGAAGATAGAATCTCAGACCTCAAAGACAAGATAGCAGCCAGTGAATAGGAAAGAAAAGATCTTTTAAAAATAACAAGATATCAGGAAATAACAATTCAACACCTACAGGATGACGCAAAGAGAAACAACATAAGGTTGATAGGGATAAATGAAAAAGAAGGGGACAACATAAAGGATGTCAAGAGGATATTTAGAGAAGTAATAGCTGAAAATTTCCCAAACATGAGATTGGAAACTGATATCAAGATCAATGAAGCATATAGAACTCCAAATAGTCACAACCAAAGTAAATCTACAACCAGACATATAATAATGACCATCCTAGAAATAGAAATTGAACAAAAAAATAGAATATTAAAGGCTGTCAGAGAGAAAAGACAGATGACCTATAAAGGAAAACCTATCAGAATTACAGAAGACTTCTCAGCACAAACAATAAAGTCAAGAAGAGCATGGAGTGATGTATTTCAGATCCTAAAGGAAAATGAATTCCAACCTAGGCTGATGTACCTTGCAAAACTGTCCTTCAAATTCGATGGAGAAATAAGATACTTCCATGACAAAGATCAGCTGAAAAAGTTCATGATCACCAAGCCAACCCTGCAAAGAATACTGAAAGAAGCCTAGATACATTTAGGAAAAAACCACTAAGCAAAGCAAACAAACAGAGCAGAAAGATAATCATGCAACAGCAGAAAGATAACATGTCAACAATAAACCAATACATAACAGTTCTAATCATTAATGTAAATGGTCTCAATACACTAATTAAAAGAAACAGACTGTCAGAATGGATCAAGAAACAAAATTTAACCATATACTGTCTACAAAAAAAACCCCATCAAACCCAAAAGGATACTCATAGAATGAAAGTCAAAGGATGGAAAACAATACTTCATGCAACAGGAACCCAAAAAAAAAAAAAAGCTGGAGTAGCTATTCTGTTTGCAGACAAAGTCAACTTCAAGACAATAATGATCAGAAAGATAAAGAGGGTCACTACATACTGATTAGGGGAAAACTCCAAGAGGAAGAGATAACTATCTTAAATATATATGCACCAAACTCCAGAGCACCCAGTTATATAAAACAACTACTAACAAAAGTGAAAGACCAAATCAGCAGTAACACAATTCTGGCAGGAAATCTTAACACACCATTGACACCAATGGACAGATCAACCAAACAGAAAATCAACAAAGAAATAAAAGAACTAAATTGCACCTGTGAACAAATGGACTTAATATACATATACAGAGTATTTCACCCAACAACAACCAAATACACATTCTTCTCAGCAGTACATGGGTCATTCTCTAAAATAGACCATATATTAACTCCCAGAACATATTTAAATAAATGCGTAAGAGTTGAAATGATCCCTTGCATGCTATCGGACCATAGTGCTATGAAATTAGTAATTAACGATAAAACATACTGAAAAAATCCCACAAACACATGGAAACTGAATAACACACTCTTGAGTAATTAGTAGGTCACAGGGGAAATTAAAAAAGAAATTAAGCAATACCTTCAAAAAATGAAAATACAGATACAACTTACCGGAATCTATGGGATGCAATGAAAGCTGTCCTCAGAGGAAAATTTATTGCACTGAGTTCCCACATCAGGAAAACAGAACAAATATAAATAAACAACATGATGCTACACATCAAACAGCTAGAAAAAAAAGACCAAGTCAAGCCCAAAGCCAAAACAAGAAAGGAAATTATAAAAATTAGAGCAGAAATCAATGCAATAGAGACTAAGAAAACAATACAAAGAATCAATGAATCAAAAAGTTGGTTCTTTGAAAGAAGAAATAAAATTGATAAGCCCCTAGCCAACCTTATTTTAAAAAGGGAAGAAAGAGCTCAAATCCATGCAATAAGAAATGAAAAAGGTGAAGTCACTACAGACTCAATAGAAATACAGAAGATCATAAACATCTATTTTGAAAACCTCTACTCTCAACGGTTTGATAACACAGAAGAAATAGACAGATTCTTAGAAACATATGAAGTTCCAAAGCTAGATCAAGAGGATGTAAAACTGCTGAATAATCCAATCTTTATTGATGAAATTGAACATGTAATTAATTCCTTACCTACAAAGAAGAGCCCAGGCCCAGACAGATTCACTGCAGAATTCTACAAGAAATACAAAGAAGACCTAAGACCGACATTCCTCAAACTCTTCAATGAAATTGAAAGGGAAGCAATCCTTACCAAGTCATTCCTAGAAGCAAATATTACTCTGGTAGCAAAACCTGAAAAAGACCCAACTGAAAAAGAGAACTACAGACCAATCTCCCTAATGAACACAGATGCAAAAATCCTGAATAAAATATTGGCAAATAGGATGCAGCAAATCATCAAGAAGATTTTACACCATGACCAAGTGGGATTCATCCCAGGCATGCAGGGATAGTTCAACATACGTAAATCAATAAATGTAATTCACCATATCAATAAAGCCAAAAGTAAGAATCACATGATCGTTTACATAGATGCAGAAAAAGCCTTCGATAAGGTCCAACATTCATTCATGATAAGAACTTTACAGAAAATTGGAATAGATGTTCTTTACCTCAATATAATAAAAGCCATCTACGACAAACCAACAGCCAGTATCATACTAAATGGCCAAAAATTGAAAGCCTTTACTTTAAAATCAGGCACAAGACAAGGATGTCCTTTATCACCTCTCCTATTTAATACAGTACTGGAAGTACTAGCCAGAGCAATTAGACAAGAGAGAAAAATAAAAGGGGTAAAGATAGGAAAAGAAGACGTTAAATTATCATTGTTTGCAGATGACATGATACTCTACATAGAAGACCCTCAATACTCCATTGAAAGACTCTTAGATATAATAAATAAATTCAGTAATGTAGCTGGATACAAAATCAATACTCAGAAATTAATAGCATTCTTCTACACTAATAACAAAATCACCGAGAGAGAAATAAGAGAAGCCACACTCTTCACACTAGCAAGCAAAAAAATGAAATATTTAGGAATTACTCTTACGAAAGAAGTGAAAGACCTATATAGGGAAAATTATAATATACTGAAAGAAGAAATTGCAGATGATATTAGAAAATGGAAAGACATCCCATGTTCATGGATAGGTAGAATAAACATTGTGAAAATGGCCATTCTCCCAAAACTGATATACAGATTCAATGCAATCCCAATAAAAATACCATCAACATACCTTATAGATCTAGAGAAATCACTCCTAAAATTCATCTGGAACCAGGCAATTCTAAGCAGCAAAGGCAAGGCAGGAGGCATAACAATCCCAGACTTGAAGTTATACTACAAAGCAACAGTAGTAAAATCAACATGGTATTGGAAACAAAACAGTGCAGAGGATCAATGGAACAGATTAGAAGATACAACCACAACTACATACACAGTCTTTTTAATAAATGGTGTTGGAAAAACTGGTTCTCCATTTGCTGAAAACTAAAATTCGACCCAAGCCTATCACCATGTACTAAATTAAAATCTAAATGGATCATAGATCTGAATATTAAAACAGAAACACTAATCTATTCCAATCTATTGGAAAACAAATTAGGTAGAAACCTTGAAGACATAGGGGTAGATAGAGAATTCATGAACAGGACTCAAACTGCATGGGAAATACTTCCCAGAATCAATAACTGGGACCTCTTATTAAAAAGTTTCTGTAAGTCAAAAAAAATCTCCAGCATAGTGAAAAGAAAACCCACAAATTGGGAAAAGATCCTAGTGAACTCCCCCTCAGACAGGGGACTTTTGTCTAAAACATATAAAGAATTAAAAAAACTCAGACCTCCAAAATTCAAAGATCCAATCCAAAAATGGGCATCTGAGATGAATACACACTTCTCAGAGGAAGAAATACAAATGGCAAATAAATACATGAAAAAATGTTCATCATCATTGGTTATTAGGGAAATGCAAATTAAAGCCACACTGAGATTCCATCTCACTCCTGCAAGAATGGCTAAGATCAAGAAAACCAACAACATCAAGGCTGGATAGGTTGTGGGGAAAAAGGAACTCTCCTACACTGTTGGTGGGAGTGTAGACTGGTACAACCTTTGTGGAGGTTAGTCTTCAGATTTCTCAAAAAGCTGGGATTGGAAGTCCCATTTGTTCCAGCTGTTCCACTTCTAGGCATAGTCCCAGAAGAACTGGAAGCATCATACCACAGTGATATATGTGCACCTATGTTTATAGCAGCACAATTTGTAATTGCCAGATCTTGGAAACAACCCGAATGTCCATCAACTGAGAAATGGATAAAAAAGCTGTGGTATTTCTATACAATGGAGTACTACTCAGCTATAAAGAAGGATCAAATTGAGCTATTTATCAATAAATGGGCGCAGCTTGAAACCATACTCATAAGTGAACTAAATCAAACTCGCATCTGTGAACACCGAATAGTTTCCCTAGTGTAGGAAATGATTCAAATATATAAAAGTATGTGATAACCATGATTCCCCATTATGTGGCCTTGAAGCCTTATAAAGT